AAAAAGCAATTTTATTTAAAAATTCATTTCTGTTACATCGAAACAATTTTTCCCCTTTATATGTCTCCTTTAACCAGACGTCAATTTCTTCTATCACTGAATTAAGGTCTGTTATCTGTCTGACTTTCTCATTTGGTTGCTGTGGAAAAAGACATGTCCTAATCCTGGAAAGTTTAAATTTACTCTTAAAAATGGGAATATGGGAATTTTTAAAGTTAAAAAAAAAAAAAGTCTGTTCTAAAAGTATCTCTCACAAATATATATATTTAAATATTAAAATAGGCTACATAGAATTTTTATAAAATGGCTTTGAAAAGATAGTAGAGACACGAAGAAGCCATATACTATCCACCTGGACATAAGGTGCCACTGGGGCCTTGCAGAGGCCGGCGCTCTATCCGATGCAGGAGGAGCACCAGTAACAACAGAAAAATCAAATACATTATTGGGACTTGGACTGAAACCAAACTTTACCCTTTTAGGGGCTGTGGTTTTTTGAAAATATCTTGAAATAGAGGCATTAGAAGCCATCACTTTGTACACGGAAGAAAATGAATCGAGTTGCATGATCGGAGCCCTTCCAAATACCTGACGGCACTCCCTGCAGGCACCCGCAGGTGGACAGTGCACCTTCCGTGACTCACTGGCCTCTCACTGGGAGACTTCACATAGCATCTGTCAGCTGCCAAACGGTAACTCAAGTAACAGCACGTTTTTAGAGAAAAACACACTCCTAACTGACTCACAGGAACGATCTCTAGAAAATGGAAATGCTTCCCATCTCTGAATGACACAGCCCCCTCACACCAAGAGCAACAACGGCAGTGACAGACTCGGCTCCTCCCCAGCAGGGGTTCATCCTCTTCAGCAGGTGAGGGACTTTGTTTGGTAATCTGAATATTTATTTACAGATAGATTTTTTTTTAGTACTTTTTTTTATCCTCACCCGAGGAGGGCACTTTTGCATTGAGTGGGAAGGAGGGGGGGGGGGGGAGAGAGAAACATCGATGTAAGAGAGACACATCGACTCGCTGCCACCCACACGACCCCAGGGGCTGGGGACAAACTGCAACGGAGGTACGTGCCCCTAGCGGAACCAAACCCAGATCTCTCCAGTCCGCGGGCTGACGCTCCAACCACTGAGCCAAACCGGCCAGGGCTCTTTACAGAAATATTTTTTAAAACTGAATTGAATGATGAAATCTGGATATGATGAGATGGCATTTGGGAAACGAAGGACAATTTAATAAAAGTTATGAAACTGTAGCCCCCTTGAACCATCAGGTGGCAATTCTATCGATAAACCATCACAATTGAGCCGAGGGGCTTTGAGCTTAATCAGAAAAATCATTCAACTGAATAGAGAAAGACAATAATCAAAAAATTTGATTTTATAAATAGGTACTTCAAACTAAAGCGTAAATAATGAGTGTTTTTCTTTCTCCATCGATGGCCGGACTTGAATCTCCGCGCACGGGCTCCCGGCCAGCCAGCACGAGCCCGCGGGCAGGCGCCTTCTCCAGATGCCGCTCAACCGCGGCTCCAGGAACATCGCCTTACACTGCGCAGACACTACTGCAAAAACATAAAGGCTTGGATCTAGTTTTTTTTTTTTCTATCATAAAAATACAATCACTATGATACAGTGAAACTAACTGTATGGTTTAATATGAAGTTAAAAAAAAAAAGTCCAACTATGGTATCTCCAAGAGTCTCCATCCCAGGAACGGACAGACTTAGCTTTCCATCAAGCAGCTCAACATACTTAAACCCCAAAGGGCAATGTCCAGAGTCTATGTTCCTCGGCTGAACCTGGAAGCTGGTTCACTTTCTCTTCACTGTCTAATCTGAACCATGACTGCTTTGCAAGCTGCCCTGCTGAGGACTTTCTTGTCACTACATTCTGTCAAGTAACTGAAAGATAATACGGGTCTAGGAAAATAAGAAATTATTTCCATTTCGATGGTGCTAACTTGAAGCCTGGTGGACTGTGTCTGGCTAAATATTCCTCAGAGACATGTTTACTGTAATAGAGCTTCCCCTAATTCTGTTTCACTGCTTCAGGGAAAAAAAATCATGTTTCTATATATTCTTCTCTCAGTAACTTTCAAAATCTAAATATATTATAAATAAAGCATCTTATGTCAATAACTTACAGTGAAAAAACCACACTTATTACCTTTTAGCAACTCTGGGTCCTTTCAGTTCGACCTCACCTTTCTCGGACGAGCGGAAGAGATCAGGGCCACAGGGAGATTGCTGATTCTCTTCCATTCCTCAAACCTCAAACTCTCAGTTACATATTCCAATTTTAGGACTGTTCATTCATCAAGTAGTAAGAATAATTCTCTCCATGTAGTATTCCAGTACAGATCACCACACAGTAATGTATTTTTCGGGGACTACAAAGCTAAACAAGACGAAAACACGATCTGAGAATCTTCAAAATAAAAGCCACTAAAACTAGATAACTGGCCTCTATTTAGATTAAAATAAGTGCAAGAATAAAAAAATAATAAAAAGCAGAAGAAAATACTGAAGAAGCAATACAACGTCCAAAGGCTCCCAAGAAGAGGTACACCCTGGGAGACTGACTCAGTAGTTAGACAGTAAGTGTCACCAATGATAGAACATTAGATGTGACTAGTTCATCCACTTGGTAAAATATTTCTAGTAAAATGGAAGCTTTTTTGTTTGTTTTCAAAGCCAAAGGACACATGTCATAACATGGAAACAAATTACTATAAGCCAGAATGGTTGTAAGGCTATTTAAACATCTTAGTACACTTTTGTCTCACTGAAATCAAGAATTTAAAAAAACTACACTATAACTAAATGTATTAACTAATTACTTGGGAAAAAATTAAGATTACTTGAAATTCAAATAAAGAAAAATTCATTTAAATATATTTGTGGGCGACAAACTCCATCTGCTTCCCTTTACAGAAAACTTAAAAAGCAAAACACCCCCCACCAAAAACCAGTATTAGTTTCTTTGTTTCTGAATGAGTACAACTGCTGACATGCCAGACGTGTCCACTGCTAGAAAACACCTTCAAAGATGGAAAGAATGACTACAAGAATGGATACACCCACATCACAGCACACATCTTTGCTCATTTCTAAAGTATATCACACCTATTGGGTAGCTTAAAAATGGAAATGTTTTTCTTATATAAAATACTTGGTTTTGAAAAGGCAATTTATCCTGCATCCTAAAATTTAAGCCCTTTAAATATCACAGTTACCCTTTTGGGCCTTAAGAAAAGACAGCTATGCATAAGTATTCTAAACTAAAAATTTAAATGTTTCATTATACTGATAGTTTCTAATGAATGAGATAATGTAACTGGCTTTCATCTGTTGGCAATGTTTTCCACATACTCTGGTAAAAATTTCCAAACATGCCTCGCTTAGATGGATTTTAAATCTAACACTATATACAATTATCCCTTGCAGCTTAGTTTCCTAAAAGAGATTCATAAGCTAAACCGTTTATCAAGAAAAATGCAGAGCCTCCCTGAAATAGAGAAAAGAGGGCCTTTGTTTATATAGTTTTATGTTAAATACTAGTTAGTGAACCATACTGCTAAGATTTGGGGAGGAGACAAGTAACCAAGTATGCATTTTCACAGTACTATATTCAATTTTTCTTAAAACTTGGAAATCGGTGTAATTTGTAATTATCAATGAAAATCTAAAGTTTCCATCTGGGGACGAATAGCCAGTGGTGGTAACTGTATTCTGAGAACACAGAACACCTTGGGCTGGGCTGCTCAAACGGCGCAGGGCTCTGGTCGAGTTCTCAGGTCAGGTGTGCTAAAAATCGTCCAACCAACAAAATCCCCCAAGGACTCTAACACATTTCTTTAACCCCATTCCTTTCCTTTTCTTCTTCATTCCTTTTTGTTTGTTTCTTTTTAAAATAACTCTTAGCTGAGGGCAACAACTGCTGGTTATTATTTTACCTTTTTTTTTTTCTTGTCCATATAAGATTTAAAAATTAACTGTGAGCCCTGGCCCGTTTGGCTCAGCAGTTGGAGCGTTGGCCTGTGGTCCCAAGAGACCCGGGTTGGGTTCCCGCTAAGGGCATGTACCTCGGTTGCAGTTTGTCCCTGGCCCTGGTTGGATCGTGCGGGAGGCAGCCACTCGATGTGTCCCTTTCACGTCGATATTTCTCTCTCTCTCTCCCTCTCACTCTATCTGAACAAAAAATGGAAAAATTTTATTTTTTATCCTCGGGTGAGGATAAAAAAAAACAAAAACTAACTTTGAGATTTAGCTACCAGTAGGTATTAACAGTTTTCAAAGTACGACATTAAAAAAAACAACCCAAACTCTTGACATTTCCAGGCTAGACACAGCAATACCGTTACTACCAGTCTGTTGCAGAAAGGATTCAACCCTGTCGGTGAAGAGGCGCGAATGGTGGCAGCCCACTGAAACTCACACATGCCGACTTTCCTGGGGGCAACACACACCTTGGAGAGCAACGGGGTGGAAACCGGTTCACGAGCGAGAGGAGTTGGAAACAAGTTCAAGATAAATGGCAGAATGTGGAAAGAGACTAAAAGAAAATTAGCTTTAAAAAATCTTCAATGAGTTTCCTTTTCCTTTCTTTACATTTGTGGGGGATAAAATAAATTACAGAATTGGCAAGTTAAAAAAAAAAGAAACAAATCTTTAAAACTTAAAAATATATTTTTATTATTAAGGTCTAGCACCTGGATAAAATTCAGATCTTGTGTGTTGAATAAGAAACTATATTTTATCTCTGTTTTCTGACCTAATCAGGTGCTTTCATAATGATTAAACTTTGGGTATATACATAGAAAAAGAGTTACTCAAAGTTCATTGTTCGTAAACTTATGAATATTTAGCATCAAGGTAAGTGATGCTTTAACTGGTACTAGATAAAAAGTATACTCCAACCTAGAGTATCATATAAATTCAACTATAAATCAGAAAGCTTTATTTTTTAGCAGCAAAAGAGGTGATAGTCATTAATTTAAGATTTTTAGTTTTTCTTTAGTCTTAACAATTGTTTCCCCCCAGATTTGAGTCAAAGACCACCATTTTATAGTCTTTTCTTATCTTTTACATTATTGCTTACATTGTGTAAAACCTATACTGATTTTAATAAACTTGGCAATGTCTAAAAATATTTTGGAACAAGGATAATGTATTGTTATATGGGATTTTTGTAAACAATCTTAGTTGGGTTAAGAACATAGCCTTAACAGATAATTTTTTATTTTGTCTAAAACAGCACAATAAAAACATCCCCAACAATACATAAACCTACATATAAAATATAGAATATCTCCAGTATTTTTTCATTATATAGTATTACAACTGCATATGCAAGAGAAAATATTGTGGATGGGGCACAAGAGGAAACTGATTTAGGCAGTGACCTAATTAGTCAGACATTAACATTCAAAGACCAGGTAAAGAACAACTTTAGCCAGAAAAACAGTACTAAAAATTCCTATGAAATTGGAATTTACATACTACATTCTCCATTCCTGGTCATTTCATGCATAGTAGGACTATTCTCAATCACAGTTCTTTCCTTTCTTTTGTAGAAGAAAGAGGAGATCTGGAGGACTGGTTCTACAAAGGTACAGGGAATGCCTATCCGGGATATAAATCATGAAAAATCAGCATGGAAATGACAAAGCTTACCAAAAAAAAAGAGTATGCTGGATTTCAGAAGTATTTACCCTAATTATTTTAAGAAAGCTTACCATAAATACTTCCAAAAACAACAGGCTTTACAAAATACTCTACAATGTCCGGTGTATAGGAGTAAACATCTATTCAGGCCATCTGTCAAATCTTTTCAGTAATTTGTTTCTGGTGTACCCTTTTATCTCAGGAAGGTCAATATTCATCTGATTCCTTCTTTACCCAATGATCTGTTGTTAGCCTACTTTTTGAACAATGCAAGAAGAAATGAACAGATGTTTTATTTTAAGTCAACTGGTTCTCCTCAAGCTTCCTAGTTTGTGTTATGGTTCGACACCATGTTACTGTGCACTTACAGAAGCCACCCCCCAGTCATGAAAAATAAAACATCAACTTCAGGGCTCACAAAGTAAAAAGATAAATTCTTTCCCAAACCTTGTTGTTGTTAAATTCAGATGTACAAGACCAAGCACAGGCACTTTCCAAAAACCAAAATGAAGCCAAACCATGGAATTACTCAATAGTTATAGAAGACAGCTCTGATTTTGGAGGGTCATCTCTGGGGGCCTCGGCACAAGCACCGGTCTTTGGCTGCTCTGGCATTTCTTCCTCCTTTTCTGCCAGCCCACCAAGAGACCCCAAGGGAAAAGTGCTTTCACAATTCTGGGTTGAGGAGACCTGTGAAATTACAGGCATTTGAACAGAGGAGCTGCTTTCGAAACTGTGTTCTCCAAGATCATACTGAACAAGGCTCTCTTCTTGCTCGTGGTTTAAGTAGTCCGGTACTAGGAAATCACTAAGAGGCAAAGGATGAAACAGAGTTAATTTTCAAACCAGCGCTAAACAAGACACAATAAAAAGACTTGAATTGTAAAACAAGACTGGGACTTTTTATTTCTCTAATTCTTGAATGAAGATTAAATTTAAGATTTTAACTTCTAAAATGTCCTAAATATGAACTAAAGCATATCAATTCTCACTACCACCAATAGATAAGATTCAGTGTTGCCTTTCTGGTTTTATGTAGAAGAGTTTCTGTTAAGCAAATATCATTTGAATAACTTATTCTTAACCTTTCTTGGACTATATACTTATTAAAAGGTTAGCTTAGTTGGTTAGAACTTTGGCCTGATACACCAAGGTTGTGGGTTTGACCTTCAGTCAGTGCACATATAAGAATCAACCAATGAATGCATAAATAAGAACAAATTGCATAAATAAGTAGAACAAATTGATGTTTCTCTCTCTCAAAAATAAATAAATAACATAGAATAAAATAAAACCAATAAATAAAGGGTATATAAAACTAGTTTTATTACTTCCTGAATATAAGTATCCTTATGCTTAAATAACCTTATACAAAATCTACTATAGAGAAATATAAAAAACTAACTTAAGTGTATCCTGCCATTAGATTCGGCCTGTGAGAACTAATAAATTACATTTGAATCAGAACTGGGAAATGAATGCAATGAGATTAGTGACATTTTAGTCCTCAGAGACTATTTAGCTTACTGATATTTAAAGTAACTAACAGTCTATTATTATAAATTATAAGTATTTAATTATTGAATGTAAAATATACCACAATTTTAATAGGTGATATTCCTGAGTGGTGAAATAAAAAAAGGTCTTTGATTTCTTGTACTTCATACTTTTTAAATATTCACTAAATTTTCTACTATAGGCATTTTTGTAGTTAAAATATTATGAAGTAAGTCTTATCTTAGATGCCTTATTTACATTTTTATTGCTTCACTATACAAGAAATGTCAATGACTAACAAACTTAATAAAGTTATTTTATAATTTAATTGTCCAGTATTAATAAAAAAATTAAAATCTGCTCATCGGTAAAGCAATTTAAGACGTCACATTACACTTTCTAAAAATCTTCAGGAGCCAGACACGAGCAGTGGAGGACAGAGGGCTCGGCACAGGGCACAGAGGCCCAGACACGAGCAGTGGAGGACAGAGGGCTCGGCACAGGGCACAGAGGCCCAGACACGAGCAGTGGAGGACAGAGGGCTCGGCACAGGGCACAGAGGCCCAGACACGAGCAGTGGAGGACAGAGGGCTCGGCACAGGGCACAGAGGCCCAGACACGAGCAGTGGAGGACAGAGGGCTCGGCACAGGGCACAGAGGCCCAGACAATGCTCACCATGGCACACAATCTAGGTTCAGTCATATGACCACCAGATACTAAAGTTAGAATTAATTACATTAAACAAAGTGCATGTCTGACTGGAAGAGAAAAACAAAATCCAGGCAGGAATATTTAAAATTTATTGAGAAATAAGATTTAAAAAATAAAAGTGGTTTAAAATTTAAGATATATTAGAAATAGACAACAAAATTTTCTATCTAGAGGGGATCCTAGAAATCACCTTCAAAGCTCAGTTTATCTTTTTCTTTTTTTTTATCCCCACCTGAGGACATTTTTCCAATTTTTGTTCAGGTAGAGTGGGAGGGAGAGAGAGGAAAAGAAAGAGAAACATTGATGTGAAAGGGACACATCGACTGGCTGCCACCCGCACGACCGACCAGGGCCGGGGACAAACTGCAACCGAGGTACATGCCCTTAGCGGGAACCGAACCCGGGTCTCTCCAGACCACAGGCCGACGTTCTAACCGCTGAGCCAAACCGGCCAGGGCTCAGTTTGTCTTTTTCTAACTCTCAAGCTTCTGTATCTGGAAGTGACATGTGGGACCGTGACAGCAGTTGTGGCAGAGCCAGACCCAGAGCCCGAATTCCTTGGATACCGTAAGAATCAGAAAGGAAATTCTAGTATAAATTACTAACATCAAAAGGATGAAGCTAAAAGAAAAAAGGAAAACTTTACTTGATCTAACTAATCATATCCATTATAACTGTTATGAAAACTTTCTTACTGTATGTTCCTTTATATGCCTTTAAGGGAGAGAGAAATGGTCAAGAATTTTATCATCATCCAAAGAGCCTGAAGTAATCTCGTATCACTAAGTATCATCTGACATGGCAAGTTTTCCAGTAAGTCTGTTTAAGATCCACTAGAATTACTTTAACCTTATATTATTAAAAAAAACAAAACAACGAAAAATACCCCCAAGAGGATAAGTAGCCTATTCCTGTTGAAAAATATTTCTAATTTCAAATATAGTATTATTTCAAATTGTATACACTTAGGAGATTAGGCGAAATTTGGTCGGATGACCAGGAGGGGGAGTGCGACGGGGGGACGAACAGGACGGGACTGGTGCCTAGAAGCAGGAAGAGAGCTCAGAAAGCGGTTCCCTGGTCCGGGTCTCGCCGTGCACCTCACCTGCTCTGGAAGTAGTTTGCTAGCTCTGACGCTTCATGGTTCAGACTCCTCAGGTGCACGATTAAATTCCCAGAGTTGGTGAACATGGCGCCACATGTTTTGCACTCGTAAATCCGAGGCTTGCGGACAATGTGCCGGGAGACCCTCATGTGGTGCTTATACTCCCCGAAGGAAGTGAAAGTGGCGCTACATATCTGGCACCGGAAACAGCGTTTACCTTCATGCTTTAGGCGATGCATCTTTAGCGAGTAAGCCCTGGTGAACTTTTTTCCACAGCGGTCACACTGAAATGGTTTAATTCCTATAAAATAAAACAAAATAAAATAAAATATTATCTAAAGACAAAAATGTACTGAAAGGTCATCAACCTCACAGATTTCTGAACTATAATTCTGTAGCAATAGATAATTTGAAAAGACAAAAATCACCAGCAAAAATGAATTATGAATTCCAATTCATTATCTCAGAAAAGGTACAGAATATTTGAAGTTGCTACTGCCTTTTCTTTAAATTATTTTTATTTTTATTTTTTTAAAGAAAGGCAAAAGGTGTGAGGTAAATTAGGTAATATATGCTCAAATTGATTTCTGAATACCCTTCTAAAACATCTATTTTACAGACTTCAAAACTTAACTATAGTATTTATTTATTATTATTTTTAATAAAATTTATTGGGATGACACTGAATAGGATCATATAGGTTTCAGGTGTAGATCTCTATGGTACAAGATGTGTGTATTGCACTGTGTGCCGACCACTCTAACTACAGTATTTAAACAGAACCCAAATCCCCATACACATAACATTTGTTTCATTTCATTAAAATAGTGAGGTTTATTTATTTATTTTTCCCTTTATTGACTTTAGAGAGAGAGAAAGGGACAGGGACAGAAAATAACATCGATGAGAGAGAATATCAATTGGCCGCCTCCTACATGCCCCCCACTGGGGATCGGGCACACAACCTGGGCATGTGCCCTGACCCGGAATCGAACCAGCGCTCTCTTGGTACATGGGTCAATGCTCAACCACTGAACCACATCAGTCAGGCAAAATAGTGAGGTTTATATTGAAAAGATGTGATAAAGATCAGTACCTACTCTTCATTCCTTATCTCAGAGAGAAATGAAAAAGACAGAAGAAAAATTCTAACTTCTATAAATATAATTAATGATCATGATTAAACTACCATTTGGTGACTTGGTTTTTAGGTATTTAATTTAACAGCAATAGAAAAAAATATGTAGAAAGTAACGTGTACATTATAAATTACATTAATGGTCTACAATACATTATCACAGTTTTGGCAAAACATTTTTATAACCTTCAAACTATAATCTGTCAATCTAACCAAGTCACAGGAAACGTTATTAGTCACAGGAACTATTAGACCTACCCGAAGGAGGAAAGTGAGACAGCACAGCTGGAAACAACAAAGACTTGTTCCCTATCGGGGTCAGTCATTTATCCAAACTTTTTATTTCGAAATAATTACAAACTTATAAAGAAGTTGTAAGAACAGTACAAAGAACACTAATATATGCCCGGCTGGTGTGGGTCAGTGGTTGAGTGTTGACCCACGCACCAAGAGGCTGCCGGATCGATTCCCAGTCAGGGCGCGTGCCTGGGTTATGGGCTCAATCCCCAGTTGGGGATATGCAGGAGGCAGCCAATTGATGTTCCTATCTGTCTCTTCCTCTCTCTTCCCCGCCCTCTAAAAAACAAACTAAAAAAACACAAAAAACACTAATATATACCCTTTTGTCTAGATTAACAAATACCCTTTTAACCTCTTCTGCTTTACAGTCTGTATTTGTGCTTCTCTACCTCACATATACACACCTAATATATCCAATATCTTTCCCCCCCCACCGATTTTTGGATAGAATAAGAGGGAGGGATGGAGGGCAGGGAGAGGGGAGAGAGAGAGAGAGAAACATGGATGTGAGAGAGACACATTGGTTGGTTGCTTCCTGAATGACTACGACTAGGGCTGGGGGTCGAACCTGCAACCCAGGTAGGCACCTTTGACCAGGAATTGAACCCTCGACTCATCAGTCCTTGGGCTGATGCTCTAACCGCTGAGCAACACTGGCCTGGGCTATATCCTATATCTTTTATTTACATGTTATGCACACACAGTGCTCTAAGTGTTAATCAGAATACCTACGCTTGGGGAAAATATATTAAGAAAATAGCTTTCTGCCCTGGCCGGTTTGGCTCAGCGGTTGGAGTGTTGGCCTGCGGTCCGGAGAGACCCGGGTTCAGTTCCCGCTAAGGGCACGTACCTTGGTTGCGGTTTGTCCCCGGCCCTGGCTGGGTTGTGCAGGTGGCAGCCACTCGATGTGTCCCTTTCATGTCGATGTTTCTCTCTCTCTCTCTCTCCCTCCCACTCTATCTGAACAAAAAATGGAAAAATGTCCTCGAGTGAGGATAAAAAAAAAAGAAAAGAAAAGAAAATAGCTTTCTGACACTGCACCATTTCAGCAATAGACCTAGGCTTATCTGTTCTCATTTGACTTCCCAGCCACACCTATATATTTTTAATTCAAAACCACCTGATTTCTATTTTTATCTGGGATTTCAAAATAAAATGTTTTAGAGTACTCATTTATGCCACAATAGGGAAGATGACATTACCTGAGTGGATGAGCATGTGCTGTTTTAGGTTCTGAATACGGGTGAATCGCACCCCACAAGTTGGACACTGAAAAGGTCTGTCTGGACCATTTGGACTTGGCCGTTCTGTACTGCTGGTAGAAGGAGCAATGTAGAGTTGGTAGGGATACTGAACATTTTCCAATCTAAAAAACAGACCAAAGAGGGCAACCAGGCTCTGATTTTTAAGTTGAATAAATATTTCAGCACTTTAAATGAACAAAAGAAAGAACACTTAAATATTTTTTGAAACAGTTTAACTATTAGATAACAAGTTCCATTTACAGCAATATGAAAATGTTGTCCAGAATGGCATAAGGACACGCAGCCACAGAACATAGCGTAAACAGTTTCCCTCAGAGGGCCTCAATCTCCCGAACCCTTGCCTTCCCACCACTGCTTTAATTAGGCCCTCAGCACTACAAGGCTGAATTACTACTCCCTCTCTTTAGCCCCACAGGTCTAATCCACCCTTCTCACTGTTTTCCAATGTTTTCTCTCACTCAATCAGCACCTCCCCCTTTTCACTCCTACAATGGTTCAATTATCTTCAAAATAAGGTCTAAATCCCTTTGCAAGGCTCTCCTTATGGTCGGCGTTCTGTGTACTTTTCCAGCCTTATATCTTGTCCTACTCCCCAAACATACCCTATACCAAGCAGATACTCCTAACAGCTCTCTCAGTGCTGTGCTTTTGTACATTTAATTTCCTCTACTAGCCTAATTTCTTTGCCTAGATAAAGCCTAGTCATTTTATAAAATGTAGCAAAGTCACCTCCTCCTAGAAGCCTTCTTTGATTTATCAGTGGCTTAGGTAGGTACCTTCCTATGAAGAGCAATAGAACCCTCTGCACATCACTCAAGATTGTTTACTCACCTGTTTTCAACCTCTCTCCCTCCCCCCAAATTGGTTTGATCTCTTGGCAAGGACTACACATTTCATTTCTAATCTCTCTACCACTTACACAGTATCTAGTATAGAACACAGCTTCATTGTTTGAAATAAAGGAATCTAGGCACATTTCCATTTGTTTACACTTTCATTAATTAATTCAAATAACTGGTACCTAACCTGCTCTGCCAGGTTTGGCTATTCAAGAACAATAAACCTTGTCTGAGGTCTTTGAATCCTTCAAGTTTCCAACAAATACAGTTTTTAAGTCTGTCCTGGGCTCTCTGAAGAGTTGATCAGAACAGAGAATTAAAAGAGAGTGAACTGACAGTGATTAGTTCTGCTTTATTTTAGACTGGTGGTCAGGAAAGGCTTCCTTGAGAACTGACAAGGCCCCAAAGCAGAAACAAACATAGAATATTCCATGAAATGAAAGGAGATCCATATAGCTAAAATCTACTATGCAAAGACGAGAACGGTCTGAAGGAAGTTAGGCAGAAGTTGTATCATATAGGGCTTTTTAAAAGGCATTAGCAAGTTTAGATTTTAAGTGTGAATCTACAGACAGCATTTAAAAACCCACTGCTTAGCATACATAATAACCTGACAATTAAAAATGAAATCATTCTAGCTGCTACATGGAGAATGATTGGAGTAGGGAGAATGAAACCATGGGCCAGTTGAAGGCTATTGTAGTAGTCAAGGGAAAGATGGTGGGAGACCTTGGCTAGGGTGGTTGTAGCAGAGATGGAGGAAAAGTGGACCAATATGGGATATGGTTTGGAGATAAAGATGTGAGGATTTAAGGATTAAGTAAGGGGAAAGGCAACAGGTAGTGAGGGAAATAACAAGTATAATTCCTGGAGATGTTGCTTGAGAAATCAGGGGAATGATGCTGCTGTTTCCTGAGAGGGAAAGACTGGAGGAGCAGGCCTGGAAGGGAGCAGGATCTTGGGTTCTGCTTTGGCCATATTAAGTCTGGAAAGCCCCTTATACATCTCTGAAAATACCGAGCAGGGAGGGTCAATCCAAAGATGACTTGGAATTATGGGTATACAGATGAGGGTTTGACAAATATCTTCTTAGCAGGTTAGACAGTAAATATTTTTTGATTCTGCACACCACATTATCTTGGTTTCAATCACTTAACTCTGCCGTCCACAGACAATGTATAAACAAATGAGTGTGGCTATGTTCCAATAAAACTTGAATTACAAATACAGGCTGGTGAGCTGGAATGCCCTGTGGTCCATAGTCTGCCAACCCTTGATACAGATACTATTTCAAGCGATGGAAACAGTCAGTTCTGAAAATGCTAAAAAAACTGTTATATAGGTGGGTTTGATTTATGATATGATGATGCTACCTTGTTACTCCAAAAAATATACCAAAATGAGGTCCCAATAAACTTCTTATATAATTCCCAGATAAAAGACCTAAATTTAAGAGTTGCAAGTACAGTCCTTAAAAGAAAATAACATGCTATGTTAGTACTAACCGGTCTTCATCATCTGCATGAACATTAGTGCTAGAAGTGCTTTGAAGTGTAGGTAGCCCTTCAGTGACGCCTTCATCTACTGAGCCTGAAAATAAAAGACAGCTGTCAATACTCTGGTGTAAGAAACCAAGATACTAACTGCAAGCTGTATCTTCAAGCCTTTAAAAACAGTGTAGTACAACTCTTATGTAAGTATAAAATAAAATAACAGCTTAACATTTATTTGAATAAAAAAAGAGTAGTGTACACAGATATCCCGAATTATTAATAAAAAATGTGTTCTATAATATTTAATTAAATGTTGATGTGATTTAAAAAGAAATCATATGTAGACAACAGCCTTATATTATCACTTAAATTCTTTTTGGAGTATTTCTTTGAAATAAATTTTAGAAACAAGTAAAGCAATTCAAACGTAAACTAAATTTTTAAAAAATCACATAAAATTAAATGTTATGACATTAAGGAATCAGACAACTTTTAACAAATTCCATTGTGACATATACCTTATTGTACACACAACTTTTACACAGAATTAAAGATACCGATGAAGTGAATACCTGTGCAACCTCCACTCACGTCCCACTGAAACTGCCAGCATCCAGGAGGTCTGCCCTAACACAACCCGCCTACAAGGGGTAACCATTATCCTGACTTTTATAGTTATCATTTCCTTCCTTTTAAAAGTAATTTTATCTCAAATACACGTACCTATGAACTAGGGGTCGCTTTTGCAGGAACACAGCCACGTACCACCATCTACCATGTACTGTACCATCACATTACAATGGCAGAGTGGAGTCATTGAGGTTACAACAGAGACTTGTGCCAGTTAAGTCTAAAAATATTTACTATCATGCCCCTTAAGGAAAAGTCTGCCGCTCTCACCACACAGTACATTTTAGTGTCTGGTTGTAAACTTATATAAAGTGAGTCACATTGTATGCATTCTGTGTCTTGCTTCTTTCCTGCAATACTGCTACAGGTAAGTGAAATTTAAAAAGTGTTGTATGATATTTATAGCCCATCTATTTCACTCAAGATGGACAGTTTCAAGCTATTATGAACAACACTGCCGTGAATATTCTTGTTCAAGTAACTGAACGCATATATGCATGTTTTTTAGGGTATCTAAACTCAGAAATGAATTACTGGGTCATAAAATATGTTTACCTTTGACTTTATTAGAAAAGGCAAAACTCTTTTATTTTTTTTTTTTTTTTTTTTTTTTTTTTATTTTTTATCCTCATCCAAGGACACTTTTTTATTCTTTATTCAGATAGAGCAGGAGGGAGAGAGAGAGAAACATCGATGTGAAAGGGACACATCGAGTGGCTGCCACCCGCACGACCAACCAGGGCCGGGGACAAACTGCAACCGAGGTACATGCCCTTAGCGGGAACCGAACCCGGGTCTCTCCGGACCGCAGGCCGACGCTCTAACCGCTGAGCCAAACCGGCCAGGGCAGAAAAGGCAAAACTCTTTTAAAAAGTGATCATACTAAATTTATATTACCACCCACAGCGTGTGAGTGTTACGTTGCTCCACATTCTCACACACACATATTTTCAGATTTTAAAATTTTTGCCAATCTGGGGGTATGTAGCAATATTTTATTGTGGTTTAAGTTTAATTTCCCTTATACTAATGAGGGTGAGCACCTTTTCAGATATTTATTGGATCCCCTCTTCTGGAAAATGCCTGTTCAAGTCTTTTTATTGTTTGCTTTTTATTATGAGTTTGTTTTTTTTGAATAGGTACACGCCTTTTGTCAGTAATACATGTAACAAATATTTTTTCCTCTTCCATAACTGTTTTTCTTTTTTGTCATTAATCCTCACTGGAGGGTACTATTTTCCCCTGTTGACTTTGAGAGAATGGAAGAGAGGGAGAGAGAAACATCAGTGTGAGAGAGACACATCGATTGTCTCCCAACCAGGGCCAGAGAGTGAACCTGAAACCCAGGTACGTGCCCGTGATCAGGAATCAAACCCGAGACCCTTCAGTGCACGGGCTGATGCTCCAACCACTGAGAAATGCTGGCCAGGGCATGCTACTGTTCTTTTATGGTTTCTTTGTATGATCAAAAGATTTTTTGTTTTAATCCTCACCTGGGATATATTTTAATTGATTTTTTTTAGAGAGAGTAGAAGGGAGATAGGGAGGGAGAAACATCCATGTGAAAAACACACCAATTGGTTGCCTCCCTCACAACCAGCCAGGGCTGGATGATCAAAGGTTTAAATTTTAGCCCTGGCTGGTTTGCACAGTGGTCAGAGTCGGCCCGCAGACCAACCATCCAGGGTTCAATCCCCAGTCAAGGGCATATACCTAGGTTGCAGGTTGGGTCCCAGGCCCTAGCTGGGGTCTGCAGGAGGCAATCAATCGATGTTTCTTTCTTTTCTTTCTTTCTCTCTTTCTCTCCCCCCCGCCCCCATCCCTTTCATTAAAAAAAAAAAAAAAAAAAAAAAATCGCCCTGGCCGGTTTGGCTCAGCGGTTAGAGCGTCCGCCTGCGGTCTGGAGAGACCCGGGTTCGGTTCCCACTAAGGGCATGTACCTCGGTTGCAGTTTGTCCCCGGCCCTGGTTGGTCGTGCGGGTGGCAGCCACTCGATGTGTCCCTTTCACATCGATGTTTCCCTCTCTCTCTCTTCCTCTCTCTCCCTCCCACTCTATCTGTACAAAAAGTGGAAAAATGTCCTCGGGTGAGGATAAAAAATATATATATATATACACACACACACACACGCATGCACACGCGCACACACACACACACACACACCCTTAAAAAAAAAAAAAAAAAAATCAGTAGAAAAATCTCCTCCTCCTCCAGCTGGTATGTCTCAGTGGTTTGAGCATTGTCCCACGGACCGAGAGGTCCCAGTTCGATTCCTAGTCAAGGAACATGCCAGGATTACAGGCTCAATCCCCAGTAGGGGGCATGTAGGAGGCAGCTGATTTTTCTCTCTCTAAAAAAAAAAAAAAAATCAATAAAAACATATTTAAAAATATATATCCTCCAGTAAGAAGTAACAAAAAATAAATTTTAAACTTTAATTAAGGGATTTTATTAGTCTTTTCCTTTACGGTAATGGCTTTTTGGTATTATTTTTTAAAATCCTTCCCTATTTCAAATTATCTTACAAAAGATTTATATTTTGCCCCGGACCTTTTAAAAACATCCACCTGGCTGTCCGGGCTGGTGGGGCTCAGAGGTAGCCAGTTCCACTCCCGGTCAGGGCACAAGTGCATCCGATCCCCAGTGGGGGGCATGCAGGAGGCAGCTAATCAATGTTCTTTCTCATCAATGTTTGTACCTCTCCCTACTTCTCCCTTCCTCTCTCTCTAATAAAGAAAAAAAAAATTTTTAATGAAATAAAACTAAAAATCCACCGGGAGTTGACTTTGTGATTGAACACACTGAAAAGCCTGTCTTTTCTTCTCGGCAGTGCACTCAACACATGGTCTGTTTCCAGGTTTTCTACTAGTTCCATCCGCTTGTCTGTATTCGCGTTAAGGCCAATCCCAGTTACCACAGCTTTATAACAGAGCTTGGTATCAGGTAGAGCAAAACTTCTCACCCTGTTCACTTGCTTCCAGAGCATCTTAGCTGTGTTTGGCCCTTTGCATTTCTCTATAGATCTCAGAATCAGCATGTTGAATACATGTGATAATAATCATTCCATTTTCTGCTTTATTGGACTGAAAATGACAAAATCTGTTTTTTTACTGGTTACTTTAGAATTAGACCCATATTTATCAAAGTATAAAATAAAAACATTTACTTCCTCCTGGAAAATACAGAGTGGAGCAAAAGTAGGATTATAGCGAGGAGTACATAAAATAGTTTATTCTTATTATTCATTAATTATGGTATTATTTTCATATAGACTGTAAACCTACTTTTTCCATACCCTGTATAAGGATCTTAGAACACTTGAACTCTATTTCCCACTCTGCAATTTATAAATTATTGAGATATCTTAACTTTCTTATTTTGATAAAGCCCCAAGATATCACTTTTATACAGCAATATTTATCTAGGATTTGTTCACACATCTTTCTTTGATCTTTATTTCTTCTTGTATATTAGACCTTTCATCTGTTCTCAGTTTACTTACGCCTCAAGTCTACTCAGATGAATTTTCTTTTCAAACTTCTTAATTTTTCAATTACAGCTGATATTCAATATTATACTAGTTCATGTGTATAGCACAGTGGTTAAACATTGATATAACTTATGAAGTGTCCCCCCCCCCCTGCAAAGTCTAGCACCCACCTGGCACCATACATAGTTATTAAAATATTACTGACTTGATTTCATGCCCTGTGCTGTACTTTACACCCCAAAGGACTGTTGTAACTGCCAATTTGTATTTCTTTAAATAATTTTTTTTCTTTATTAATTTTAGAGAGAGAGGGAGGAAGAGGTAGAGAAACATCGATGAGAATGCACATCAACTGGCTGCCTCCTGCATGCCCCACTGGGGATTTGGCCCACAACCTGGGCATGGGTCAATGCTCAACCACTGAGCCACACCAGACGGGCCCATTTTGTATTTCTTTCTTCATTTTTCCCCCACTGCCTAGCCCCCCCCCCCCCCCATCTGACAACCATTAATTTGTTCTCTGCATTTATGAGTTTGTTCATTTGCTTATTAGATTGTGGTATTTGTCTGACTTATTTCACTTAGCATAATACCCTCTAGGGTCCTCCATGTTGTAGCAAATGCCAAGATTTTGTTCTTTTTAATGGCTGAGTAATATTCTAGTGTGTGTGTGTGTATCACACTTAAGAATCTTCTCTTAAGTGATGGCTTGCTAATGAACTGTTTTTGTTTCTTTGAAAATGTCTTTATCTCACCTTCATTCCTGAGATGTTTTCCCTGCGTGCAGACACCTGGACTGGCAGTTATTTCCCCCCAGCATACTGAGGATATTATACCACTGGCTTCTGAGGTTACAAAAAAGCTATACATTCTTCTGAAGGTACTGTCACTGCCCACCTCTCAACTCGAATTAACTCTATAATGTGTCTAGCTTTGTTTTCTTTTTTAATATTTTTACTGATTTTTATGAGAGAGAG